TCTTAGGGTTTTATTGCTGTGAGGAGACACCGTGACTATGGAAACTCTCATAAAGGAAAACATTGGGGCTGGCTTACAGTTTTAGAGGTTTAGTCCATTATCAGCATGGCGGGAAGCATGGCAGTGTAAAGGCAGACATGGTGCTGGAGAAGGAACTGAGAGTTCTTCATCTTAATTCGCAGACAGCAAGGAGAGACTGTGTGCCACACTGACCAAACTTGAGCTTATAAGATATCAAAGCCTGTCCCCCAGTGACATAGTTTTTCCAACAAGGCCACAGCTCATAATAGTGCCACTCCCTATGGCCAAGCATTCAAACTCATGTGTGGGCCATTGGTATTCAAACCACCACACCAGATCAGGAATACTGTGGTTAACAGACATAGCAGCAGCCCTGTAACTTGTCAAGGTGCTAGCTCTTCAGGAAGCCAGGAAGGAGTTAGACAGTAAGTATTCTCTATCTATACGATTCTCTTAGGCCACTCCAAAGTTCTTGTGCTCAGAGAATATCACATGTAGTAACTAACTAGCTGGAAACTTTATATAACGGCCAAGCATGTCATTCAATATTGACAGACTACATCTAAGATTAGCCTGGCTTTCCCATCATACATACAAATTCCGCCAGCCAAGTCTATTGACTGTAGCTTCATATAGGCCCTCGGAATATCATAGCTCAGGCAATTCAATAAATTGAACAAGTAGTACTGATTAGCCCGGAGCAAGTTAATGATGTAAAATACAAAGGCAATGCTTCCAATCCTAAGAATTTCTAGAAGCAACCAGAGATAACTTTGATGAAGGAAGGGACATCCTTATTGGCTTTAGTACATAGGTAATTTCGTTTAAAAAAAAAAGTGTGTTTTAAAGCTGGGCATAGTGCCATGGACCTGTAATCCTTGTTCTTAGGAGGCAGAGACAGGAGAACCACACACTTGGGATACACAGCAAGCTCTAGGCTAGCTAGAGCAATACAAGACCCTGTCTCAAAACAAACAAACAAACAAACCCAGCCTTGTGGTACACTCCTATACTCCCAGCACAGGGCAAGCCTCTAAGACCGGGTCTCGGAAAACTATGACTAAAATGCAGCTCAGTGTGGACAACGTTGCTTAGTATGAGCAATTCTGTGGGCCTAATCCACAGCAATAGACAAATAAATACCTTTTTAATTAAGAAGAAGTGTGCTGAAAGTCTGTTCTTCTCTCACTTTGATGCATTTTTAGAAATGTCTACAGGATAGAGTAGAGAGAGATGGCCCAGTGGTTAAAAGGTTCTAGAATTGGTTCCCAGCACCCACATGGTGGCTCAAAACCATCTGTAACTCCAGTTCCAGGGGTTCCTGTGACCTTTTCTCACCTCCAGAGGCACCAGGCACATACACAGTGCACAAACACACAAGCTGGCATAACACGCCTACACATAAAATATATCAATCTAATAAATTTTTAAAAAGAATCATCTACCTCTTTGGGGGAGGGGGTAAAGAGCCCGCCACTGAGTTTATGTCAGAGACAGTTCCTGTTCATAGTACTGGGGAACCCACTTGGATACTGAGCTGCCATGGGCTACATCTGTGCAAGGGTTAAAAGTTATCTCCATGCATTGTCCTTGGTTGGAGTATCAGTCCCAGAAAAGACCCCTGTGCCCAGATATTTTGGTTCGGTTGCTCTCCTTGTGGAGCTCCTGTCCCCTCCAGGTCTTACTTGCCAGGCCACAGATGAGGACAATGCAACCAGTCCTGATGAGACCTGATAAGCTAGGGTCAGATGGAAGGAGAGGGGGATCTCTCCTATCAGTGGATTTGGAGAGGGGCATGGGAGGAGGTGAGGGAGGAAGGGTGGAATTGGGAGGGAATGAGGGACAGGGCTACAGCTGGGATACAAAGTGAATAAACCATAATTAATATAAAAAATAAAAATTTAATTTAAAAAATCATCTAGAGGAGTTTTTTTTTTTTTAATTTCCCTAGTGTCCAGACCACATGCAACAGCAATTAAAATAGAACCTCCGGGGATCAGGCCCGGGCATACTTTTTAAAGCTGCTTGATAAATTCCAACATGTAGCCAATATAAGAACCGCTAAGTTAAGTTTCCTAATATGTGAACTTCAACTAGTTAAGACCCACTTTCCTAAAGGCCTTTTTGTTTGTCCCAGGCTCACCAGCCTTTTCATTTCAACTTGTTGCTGATATAGGAAAAGCTCTCTTTAAGGTCAGGCTGACCATAAACTATGTTTATATTTAATGAGTTTCTTATCCTTGGCACATTCTATGGCTTTGCTTACTTTGTGGCCTTGCTGTTCTTCAAAATGTTCCAACCATAAGCACAGCCAGCCCAAACAGGTAGCTTCACTTTCGAGGTCAGTTAGAACTGATTTGTCTTGTCAGAGAAGACCACCCTGTTCCGCTGTCTGCCCCTATCATGGGCCAATTGTGTTTTTGCTTTTAAAAGTTGTCTGTAAAGAACCTTTTGGCCATCGTTCCAGCTCCCAAGCCTGGATTGCGTCACTGATTGAGATCAGTCTTGAAGTGTACATTAAATAAACCATCAATTTCTGACTGAGATTAGTATCTGAGTGGTTTGTGTGGCTATTCCTGAATGCTAGCAAAATAGATCTCAAGTTTTTTTTTTAAATAAGTCCATAAAATATACCTATGCAACAGTAATCTAAATAGATTCTACATTAGATTTAATAGTTTATTCTCTTAGTACTGGGGATCATCCCAAGTGCTTATTGAACAATTGCCTCATCGCTGAGCTACATCTCCAGCTGTGGTGGTTTGAATGAGAATCTCCCTGTATGCTCTTACCTGGTCCCCAGATGTTGGCTGTTTGGGTAGATTTAGGAGCTGTGGCCTTACTGGAGGAAGTGTGTCACTGGGAGATTTTAAAAGCCGTATATCATTCCCAGTTCACTCTGCTTACTTCTGGTTCCAGATGTGAGCTCCAGCTGTTCCTGTCACCACATATGCTACCTCCTACCACAATTCCCTGCTCTGATGGACTTTCTCTCTCTCTCTCTCTCTCTCTGTATCCCTGCCTGGCCTGGAACTCACTCTGTAGACCAGGATAGCCTTGAACTCAGAGATCCGCCTGCCTCTGCCTCCCAAGTGCTGGGATTAAAGGCGTGCACCATCACTGCCCAGCATAAATGTTGCTTTTCAACTAATTTTTTGTTGTTGTTTGGTTTTTGGTTTTTCAAGACAGGGTTTCTCTGTGTGTAACCCTGGAGACCAGGCTGGTCTTGAACTCAGAGATCCACCTGCCTCTCCTGACAGACCCTCTGGAACCATGAACCCAAATAAGCTCCTCTATAGGCTGCCTTGGTCATGGTGCTTTCAGCAGAGCCACAGTAAAGTGGCTAAGATTGTACAAAATTGTTATTACTTTTATTTTTTTTTTTTTTAAGGAAAAGCGAGCTGGGTGCTGTAGCACAAGCCTATGATCTGAGCACTTGGGAACCAGACTTCTTGTGGACTTCAATTTTATGCACCTTGCAGTTTCTTCAAAAGGCTGAGCAATTCTCTCAAATGCTTCTAACTTCCGAGGTGATCCAGCCCGGTTCCAGTCGGAACCTGTCTGCCAGTTGCTTGGGCAAGCGTTTCTGATTTCTGATTTTGATACAGGGTCTCATGATGTAGCCAAAAATTGCCTTGAGTATGTGATCCTCCTGCCTCAATCTCATAAATTCTGGGATTGCAAGTATATGGCATCATGCTTGGCTAGAAAATGGCCTAAAATTGTTTGTATTCATTTATTTGTTTATGTGTGTGCATAGACCAAGGGGCAACTTAGAGGAGACACTTCTCTTTTCTTCTGTGAGGGCCCCAGGGAGAAAACTCAGGTTGTAATGCTTGGCAGCAAGCGCCTTTTCCTAGAAGACAGCTTCTGTTGTTGTTTTGACTTAACAATTCCGTGTATCCGTGTATGTCTGTGGGAGGGTGTGCTGACTGGTCTTAATCTCAGCTTGACACACAAACTAGAGTTATGTGAAAGGAGGAGGGAAAATGCCTCCATAAAATCCAGCTCTAAGGCATATTCTTAATTAATTATTGACGGGAAGGGCCAGCCCATGATGGGTGGTGCCATCCCTGGGCTGGTGGTCTTGGTTCTAGAAGAAAGCAGGCTGAGGAAGCCATGGGGAGTAAGTCAGGAAGCAGCACTCCTCCATGCCCTCTGCACCAGCTCCTGCCTCCAGGTCCCTGTCCTGCTTGAGTTCCTGTCCTGACTTCCTCATGATGGACTATGATATGAAAGTGTAAGCCAAATAAACCCTTTCCTCCCCCAACTTGCTTTTGGGTTATGGTGTTTCATGGCAGCAATAGAAACCCTAAGACAGAGGGCATGTTCATGAGAGTGTAGTTGCTCATGGAGGCCAGAAGAGGGCACTGGATCCCCTGGAGCTGAAGTTATAAGCTAAATTGTAAAGTTAAGCAGTTAAGTTCCCAGAGTGCTGGGAACCAAACTCAGGTCTTCTGCAAAAGCTCTTATTTGCTGAGCCACCTTTTCATCCCCATGTTGTTTCTTTTTAGCGTGTGTGTGTGTGTGTGTGTGTGTGTGTGTGTGTGTGTGTGTGTGTGTGT